GCTCAAGGTCATGGAGTGTCAGTGGCAGAGTTAGCAGCGGTGGAATCCAGCCACCCTGGCTGCTGGGGCTGTGCTCTCATCCTTGGATGACTCTCCCAAATAATTGCAGGTAGTTTAAACATTGGTTTGCGTAAGTGCGTGTTAAGGCCTTCAAAACCTTCTGGAGAAATAAAATGTTTGTGGATCTGCTTCAGATCCTGTGCTGCATTCGCATGTAGCTTGCCGTGATTGCTCAGCTGGACATGGAGGGAATTTTGAAGAAGACTTTGTGGTTTATTTTGTACATATGCACTCAAAAGGCACCAGTTTTACTGAGCATATAGTGTGGAAAGTCTCATGTAAATTTAAGAGGTAGATCACGAGGTGTCACAGAAACAGATTACACTGTAATTAGACAGTTTTTGAAAGAAGAATGTGGAGACTATGACTGTAAAGAGGTTTTCTTCTGAATAAAGTGTTTACCCGATGACATTCTGTAGAGTTATTTGCAGTTGTGAGGAAGAAAAACAGCCAAAAAAAATGCACTGGGAAGCCATGGTGATGAGGCTGTTGGAAGTTAAAATGGGAACAAAAAACTTCCTCAGTTGATTTATTTATTCAGCAGATACTTCTTAAGCAGAAACAAATCACAATCAGCGTTATTGCTGACTCTGGGGAGAAGTTACGTTTCCCTTGGTGTTTCTCTCTGTCGAGTTACATTTATGAAGAAAGGGATTTCGAAGGAAATGCTGGCAGATCTGTGCTATTGTGACACCAGGAGTATATATTTAGTAACTTCAGGGAGGAAAGATCCTTATTGTGCTAAAGAAATAGCAGTGACAGTTGTTTGTCAGGACGCGAGAGAGCACTGGGAAGTGAGCAGTGCTCAGGTGTGACACGCTGGCCCCTGTCCTGCCAGGAGTTACCTTTGACAGATCCCTGCTCCTGCTGGGATTTCACCGGCACTGCTGGGAGCAGCCCATCTGTGACTGCAGCTCACAGCTGAGAGCACAGACCTTGGGCTGGGGCAGGTTCTCTTGTGCTCACCTTCGCGTCGTGCCGGTCGTCGCGGTGAGTACTGACGGCAGAGTGTAGTGCTGGTGGTGCAGTGCACAGTGCAGGAGAGCAGCAGCTGAGCTTCTGTTAAAGGATCTGGATGGGGTATGTGACCATTGACTGTGAGAGCTGCTGTGGGGCTAATCTGGGCAGAGAAGTTGTGATGATACAGACTTCTTCCTAGGACGAAGTTTTCTCTGTGAGGGTGGTGAGACACTGCACAGGTTGCCCAGGAGGCTGTGGCTGCCCCAAGCCTGGCAGTGTTCAAAGCCAGGCTGGATAAAGCCTTGAGCAACCTGCTCTGGTGGGAGGTGTCCCTGCCCAGGGCAGGGGGTTGGGGCTGGATGATCTGTAAGGTCCATTCCAACCTCTTAACATTCTATGCTTCTATGATTTATATGTACAAGTGTTTGCAGTTTCTTGTTGAAGGGAAAGGTGTGCTGTTACCACTACTAAACCCTCACATCTCCCCAGCATATGTGTGGTCTATAAATCAGTCTTGGGGAAAAGTTCTTTTGCTGCTGTCACTGGGTGAGATGCCACAGCAAAGTAACTTCTAAGCTAAAATTGTTGCCTGCAAAAGGATGCTGGTTGCTTGCTGAGGAATCCAGAAATTTATACCTGAATGACACTGCTGTGTCAGCAAATGTGTCTACTCTAGGCCTGGGTTTGCCAGATGTCACTTTGGGCAGTTTGGGTGGTAACTCCTCACCCAGCCGAGTTAAATAAGAAAAGGAAGCAATAACGGGATATATTTTTTAAGGTTGGTGCCTTTTCCGCTTGCAGGTTGTGAATCCTGGGAGGTCTGTGCACTGTTTTCAATGGGTGTGTAAGAAGAATGAGCCTGTTGATAGGCTTAGTGATCCATTCCCCCACTGATATGTCATGTGGGGGGGGGTTTGGACACTAAACACTTGTCACAGGCTGAGCTGAGGAAACTGGAGATGTGGTGTGACACCAGGAATTGGAACGGAACATGTGGAGTGTTTAAATTAAAAGCTAAGGCATGAAAATAATACTGATTATTATAAATAATACTTAAAAATGGTACTAAATATAGTCACTTAAAATATGTAGCAGTAGTTTGGCGTTGGTTGTGTGGTAGTTAAAAGCAATTTTTCCAAGTAAATATTTTAGTTAAGGTCAAAGTTTGCCTGTATTGCTGTTACACACAGTGTATGCAGGGTAGGTATGTTTGAGAACCAAAGATTCCAACGTGTTCTTGTTGCATTGAGCTATCTTTGGTTAAAAAAAATTAAGATAAATAATGCTCAATCACCTGCCTGTGAGAGGCATCAAAAGAAGTTACCTTGTATTCCTACAAACTGGCACTTTTGCCACATTAGCTCTTCACCTAGTCTCAATATGTTTGAGTGGAGCAATGAGCCTCAGAGTACATAAAGCTGTTCAAGAAATAATGTTTCCACTTGCTACTCAAAGTCATTCCAGAGCTTACAGATTCTTCTGAAACAGGAAGGACTCACCAAAATTCTAAGCAGCGCTCAGAACCCAAATCGCCACTTACAGAGCCATTTCTTTTTCTAGACTGTTCTTAATAAGGTAACAGAACATCAGCCTGGAACACTATCATTGGGGATTTGTTTTCAGAATATTATTAGTAGCATTTCAGTGAAGTGGAAACAAACCTGTGCTCTGAAAAGAAACTGGATCTTGGGGAAAGGCATTCCAGTGAGATCTGTGAATTTAAATTCTACAGGGACAATCTGCTGTTTTAACAAATGAGTCAATGTAAAAGCTTGGTTTGTGAGGAAGAACCAGAACCTGTAAATCTGATGATATGACAGATACACTCTAGTGAACATGTGAGCGTGTGTCATATTTCAAGTATGAAACACGTATCTGGTGCTTGGAAATGTGATCATCATGATGTTTAGAATGCAGAAAGAAGCGTTTGGTTTTGATTGTTCATAATGTTTGGGCTATTCACAACTGGAAAGTTCTGAAACTAAATTTCTTAAGGTGCCACCAAACCAGTTTATTGAGCTGGACAACAGCTGAAATGTACCTTGTTTTATAATACCTTCATTGGAAGTGGAAGTGACAACTAATGAGTCAATAGGAACTTTGTTCTTCTAACATTTTCTACTATGAAGTTAAACCCCAGAGGACACCTTCAGTTTGATAATTAACCTGCAGGAGCTGCAGTAAAATATGATGTTCTTGGGGGGGGGGAATACATGTAGCTGTTTGCCTTTGTTCTGTCTGTAGTGTGTAAAGTCAATGGTATGTGTGCTGAGGAGTCTGGCCTTAATTTTATTTTATGAATTACATTTGGGATTGTTGCTTGGTTGGGTCATGGGTTCTGGTTTTAGTCCTGGAATGTCACTCAAAATAAAACAGATCTGTGGGGGTGGCAGAGGGAGAATCGTGATGGTCGTACCTGGCTGAGGGGCAGTGGGGGTAGAAGACCTGTCTTGTTTTCTAACCAAATAGTAAATCCCAGATCTGTTTGGTGTTGCTCATGCTGGTTATTTTTTCAATTCGTTGCCTGTAACTACCATGCAGCCCTAACAGGAGTTGAGTTCGAGCAAGGCGTGAAGGTGTTCCCCATTCCTGTGTTGTGACTCTCAGGGGTTTGACATTCCTGGGTGCCTAGGTGAGCAGATACCTAAGTTGTCGTACCTCGTCTGAGGACGTCATGCCTGCAGAGGTTCCTGTCTAAATGGTGACTCCTACTGCCCTGTGTCATTGTGTTTCCTCATTTCTGCTCTGGTTTTTCTCAAGTGTTGGTGTCCTGAGGCAAGGACGGGATATCTTTCTGTTGTCCTTGTTCAGTTTGTGTTGCAAAGACCCAGCATAAGCAGCTCCAGGCGTAGACTGGGACCCCAAATCTGCCATGATATGCTGAGGAGGTGCTGATCCACTTGTTTTATAGCAGTTTGTTAAGTAGATGGAAACCTGGTGCAGATATTTTTTCTATTTTGTTGTTTTTGAAGTAACATAAGTAGAGGTAGATCATAATCAAGCATCACGGTTTATATTTTTACACCTTTGTTGACTGTCTCAGTTTAGTATTAAACTTATGGAAATAATCTTCTTGCCTTTTCTCTTTTTTTCCCCTTTTTTTTCCTTTAGAATTGCCAAAATGCTTTGGAATTCTTAAACGATTCAAAAACTGAAGTCTCTGAGGATACAAAATCATAAGAACACGAGAAGCAGCAAGGAGGATTCAGTGCCAATGCAGCAACAAAAAAGACAGCCAGAGTTAGTGGAAGGAAATCTTCCTGTTTTTGTTTTTCCTACAGAACTTATATTTTATGCAGATGACCAGTCGACACACAAGCAGGTGTTGACTCTATATAACCCCTATGAGTTTGCCTTAAAATTCAAAGGTGGGTTTCTTAGGTTAAGTTCTATTTAAGGGTTAGTTGGTGATCTTGAACAGTCCAATTATAATTCATGTCACAAATCATATCTGTGACCAAACCAAACTCGTGTCTGTACCTGTATCTCTTGGTGAAGCTGGAGAGGTATTAATTCATGATTTGTTACCACTACTGTCCTTTTTGTTGCAGTTCTTTGTACAACTCCAAATAAATATGCGGTGGTTGATGCTACTGGTGCAGTGAAGCCTCAGTGCTGTGTTGATATGTAAGTAAAAGCTGGTTGGGTTTTTTCCTAATGTACAGCACTTAATTATCTTCGTTTCTTTGATTATTTAAGAGGTAATAAGTGACTGCATGCATAATATAAGTTGAATAGAGATACAATATTTTCTTTTGTGGTTGTCTGGTCTCCTGTTCTTTCACTCTAGGCCAGAGATACTACAATATTGGAGATATTTCCTTCTTTAATGTTGTCTTTGGGCATAAATGAAATGCCAGTAAATGCATCTTGTAGTGTAGTTTGTAAAGCAGCAGTAAGAGTAATATGAGCCTCCTCTGAGTACCTTTTTGTTAGAAATAACAAGAAAAGCAGGAGCCCCAGGGTTGGGATTTCTTTGTGAGAAATACTTGTTTGCAGATTGGCAGAATGGAAATGTACACAGTTCTACTGAGCACATTTTCCTGGGCAGTGTTTAATCAAGGTACTTTTGTCTACCTTTCACCCTGAGCACCTCTCTTGTTCTCTGAGCTTTGTCTCCCCTTCACTTGTTTGTCCTGTCAGATCCCAACCCAGGAACTCAGAACTCAGGAGGCTGTTTAAGTGACCACAGCAGTGTACAGGGTCTGTAGGCTGCTGTCATTTGAAGTACAGTGGGCGTGTGAGCTAAAATAGATCAACTTTTTTTATCTTCCTTGTGCCATGTTATTGCTCTGCTGATGTCCAGATACAGCTGAGGGAAGTCTGAAGTACCTAAAAGAGGAGATAGAGCTTTTTGAACAGAAATTGTCAAACTGTAGAACACCTTTGGAATCTCTGGCAAACAAATGGCCACATACAGAAACCTCTACCATGGAATGAGCTGTCTTTTGTCAGACAGATAATACTGTGCTTGGGGAATTGCTCATTCCTGTACACTGTTTTCCTTAGGTGTAATCTGAAAAATTCGAAGGATCTCACCAAAGAGAAAGGAAGTTTCAAACGTGGCAGTGAAGTGTTTCAGTGGGCAGGGGCGTAATGCTAAAAATGGCACAAAGCAGGTCAGAATATACCCGTGTATCAGTGAACCATTCCAGTCTTCAGCAAACATTTGCACTACCTTGATTACTTTTGGTTAATCTTAACCTTACATTTGGTTAATCTTAACCGAATGTCCTTTATTAAATAAAAGGAAAATAAGACATATGCATGTTCCAGGAGAACTGTTTTGTGTAGCTAACCCCCCATCCCATTCCAGGGGTTGCTGTCTAAGGGCAGTGTTTACTGCTAAGATATGAGCAGTACTATGCAAGTGTGGCCATTTGCCAGATAAACAGATATTCTACAGAGCTTCCAATTATGCAATGGTCTCTAAAAAGAAACAGGAGAATGTATCTGTTTATAAGGGTCTGCAGAAAATATCTCTTTGCTTGGCAGCAGATGCATGTTCTCCTAGCACAGCATTATGTAAAGATTCTGTTTAGGTTGGTAGTTAGCACCATGGCACTAGGAGTAGAAACCCCAATTTAAAAGGAAGTGTTAAAGGAAGAAGTCAGAGTTGATTTGCTGTGCTGATAGGCTGAGAGCTGTATGAATTAGGGCTGTGGGGGAAAAAGCCTTTTGTGTGAGTGAAGGCAGTTGCCCAGCCAACACTGAGTAGCTGACAGCCTGTCATAAGCAAACTCGTTTGCCTCTAAGGTGACGTAAAACTCCGTAGGTCACTGCAGCCCTCTCACTGGGGGCATGACTTGGTCTCTGTTTCCCTCTTGAATAGTCTATTCAAACGAGGTACCAGTTGCAAGCACTGGCTACGTGCTACTGCCTGTCGATATCTTGATGTGATACAGCTCCTTTAAATGAAGAGTGAAACACAAAAATCCATTTCGTGCAGCATTTTAACGTAGCTATTGTCACAAAGATACAAAGGTTTCTTGAAGCAATTTTAAGACTACTTTCTTGTATTACTAAGGGTACGGTAATTTTTTTGTTCCCCTCAGAAGACACGAACCTTCTTGAAGCTAAATCTCTTATTTGTGGGTATTTTTTTCACATTAGCTGTTTGTTTTATTAGAAACTTAGAATAACCTTTCACAACAAACATGTGGGAAAATGATTGAAGTCCTTATTAACCCTAAGAGCTGATACCACTTCAGAACCCAAATGTTGCAGCTTTTTAATGCTGGATACGTATTTTCATGATGAATCACAAGTGCAGAGAGGAGGCAGTTGAGCAGAGCACTGCTCAGAGGTCTGTTTTGCCTTTGATCAGTGCTGTTTTAAACTGTGCCTTTTATAGGTTCCAAACATGCTCTTCATGGTGGGTTTCTGATTTTGAAAATCCTTAGCTGACTCTTGTCCATAGAGGGAGTGAGTTTTGCTTCCAAGAAAGTAGAATTGTAAAGCTTTGAGCCTGGTTTCCTCAAAAAGCTGGAGTGCAGCTTGCCAAACACCTGTCCAAGTGTTTGGCAGTCCTACTTTACTTCTTTCCTTCCCTGTCCACTCCTGTCCCCTCATACCTTTTAAAATCATTGGCCAGCATCAAACAGCTTCGATAAATTGATGTTTCATGCAGATTGGCAGCTAGGCCATGGGCTGAGGCAAAAGTGAGCTTGAGATAAAGAATTGACTGTTCTTTTTGGGCAGTCAGTTGGGACATATATATTTGGGAATTAAAGCAAACATAACAAACATTTTCCCCTGTACTTGGCTCTGGTGAGGCCACACCTTGAGTAACTGTGTGCAGTTCTGGGCCCCTCAGCTCAGGAAGGACATGGAGGTGCTGGAGCAGGTCCAGAGAAGAGCAACGAGGCTGGTGAAGGGACTCGAGCACAAGTGCCATGAGGAGAGGCTGAGGGAGCTGGGGGTGTTCAGCCTGGAGAAGAGGAGGCTCAGGGGAGACCTTATCACCCTCTACAACTCCCTGACAGGAGGTTGGAGTCAGGTGGGGGTTGGTCTCTTCTCCCAGGCAACCAGCAGCAGGACAAGAGGACACAGACTCAAGCTCTGCCAGGGGAGGTCGAGGTTGGATATTAGGAAGAGATTTTTCATGGAGAGAGTGATCAGACATTGGAATGTGCTGCCCAGGGAGGTGGTGGATTCACCATCCCTGGAGGTTTTCAAGCTGAGACTGGATGTGGCACTTAGTGCCATGGTCTAGTAACCACAGGAAGGTTGGACTCGGTGATCTTTGAGGTCTTTTCCAACCCTGCTGATTCTATGATAAGTAGGGGAGAGAGAAGGCAAAATCAAGAACATTGAGTGATGGAGGAGGTAATTGGGATCTGGAATATTGCAGTTTATCTGTGTCTGGGGGAAAGAGGGCAAACTTTGTGCTACAGGCTGTAACTCCTAGTTCATGTGTCTGAAAATGTTGTTTTCTCTGCAGTGTGATTCGTCACAGAGATGTTCGAGCTGCTTACTATGGTGTGATAGATAAATTCCGTCTACAAGTATCTGAGCAGAGCCAGAGGAAAGCATTAGGGAAAAAGGAGATTATTGCTACTCTGCTTCCATCTGCAAAGGAACAACAACAACAAAAGGAAGAGGAGGAAAAACGAATAAAAGAACACCTGGCTGAAAGTGTCTTTTTTGAGCAGACTTTGTGTCAACCAGGTAGCTGAAATCTTCTACCCTCCCTGTCTTCTGAGTCAGTTTTGAACAGCTCAGGTGACTAGAAACACTAGACAAATATTTTTTAAACAGTTTTTAAACAGACTAAAGCACATTTAAAAAGGATTCTCTTCACATACCTGTGAGGCTGCTGCCCTTATCGCTGGGGGATGACAGTAGCCAAGAACCCAAACTGTGGCTATTCTGTTTGTGCTGTCTTGATTAATCAGGGCCCTTTGCTGCCCCATGTTGACACATCTCACCTTGGAGAGTGCATCCTCTGTTCCTCTGGTGCAGAAGTTCTCATAGAGCCAACGGGAATTTATCTGTGAAAGGATGGTAATTATTTTTTCTCTCAGGCTCTTTCAGCACATATGCCCCTTCTGAATTTGTTCCAAACCCTTAATCCCCCATTTCCTGATGAGCAGGAAATATTGCCAGAACATCTTCTAAAGTGCTCCTTGTTCTGTGCCCTCTCCTTTGTCAGTCCCACAAGAACAGAAGAGCACAGTTGGGAGCTGAAAACTCTGTGTTTCCTATGTGAGGAAGTGAATCAACATTCTTGGGCAAAACCTGGGCCAAACAGTTAAATTGAAGGGATAGGATAAAAAGTACCAAGTTTTACCTGAACTGAATGTGAACTGATTCTTGACAGTCTACACTCTTGTTATTTTTACTGATTTATTCTGTAAGGTTCTTGTCACTCTTTTATTTTTCATGACAACAGAAATCAATTCCACAAAACAGATGAACCTGTTTGCGAGTGTTCCTCTTGCTAAACCAGTCTGTGTCACTATTTATACAGGGTTTGTTGGCTGGTGAAACACTTTTTACTGAAAAAAAAAACCCCATGGTAGATATTAGTAGGACACACAGTTAAAGCAAACCTACAAAGATCTCTGGGCTGACAGTACAAAATGTTACTGTGATAGTTGTTCCAGGACAGAGAGTTTGAACCATCCTGAACAATCTGATACTGGTCTGAATCCAAATGCTATTTCTCTGCTTAAAACCCTTGTTGATTACATTATATTGCTTACTTATAGAAAAGCAGTAAACAAAGCAACTCCTGTCTTTGCATGCAACCTGGAATTAAGAGATTTATGGAGTTAAAATAGAGCACATATTGTTGGGCACTGAGGATAGAAAAAGTTGATAAGAACATTGGCTAATTTCCAATGGGTCTTAAGGATTTGGTTAGAGGTATTCAGCTAACATGTTAACAGCTCTTTTCAAAGATGACACAGTGGGCCTTTGAGTAGGTTCCAGCTGTTAAACTGCAGCACAGTACAGTGTGAAGGACAGTTCATCTGTAGTTTGCATGTGCTTATGCTGAATTGTCTGAGTGGTTCACTCCCACAGTTCTTAAAGTAAGATTCAAATTTTACTGGGTTTTGGCATCTAAACTGGTTCTGTTGTGTGCAGCCCTTGAATCCTCTAAAGAAAGAATGGAGGCTCATCTGGCCTAAGAGCCTGTGCTCTGGCTGTAGCCCAGGTTTTGTTCAGGAGCTGTTCTGGGTGTTCTTTCCTAACTGATTACTGATCACTGAAGGAACATATCAAGGAATGGAGTCAGGACACATGGGGAGCCCTGAAGCCTTGCTGAGACATCCAGTTGTCCTGAGTGTGTATATATAGCTACTGGGCCTGGAAGGCTCTGTTCCTCCAGAAGGGAGGGGTTTGGGAAGTCATGTGAAAACAAGTTCCAGCATCAGAACAGGGAGCAGCCTCCTCCGCTGAGAAATGCAGAAGGTTTAAAGGGTTTAAGAGGTGTTTTCCACCCCCTTCAAACTCCACAGGGGAAGAAGAATCTCAGGATATTGCAGCTCTGATGTATTGCAAACATTTTTGCAGAGTATTTAGTGTTTGTGTTGGTTAAATGTTGCTCACAATTAATTGGTTCTGTGCTGTTTATCCAGAAATCAGAACTGCCTCGTCGGGACCGAGTTTACTAACAGTCTTCCTCGGAGTAGTGTGTGTTGCAGCACTAATGCTACCTACATTGGGGGAAATGGAATCCCTGGTGCCTCTCTACCTCCACTTAAGTGTGAATCAAAAGTTAGTAGCTGCTTATGTTTTAGGTAAGTGGTTTGGATTTTGTAAACTTTTTCCTGCAGCTCCTGTGAGTTTGGAAAACTGCGTTTGCCAGCGGCTTCAGGAAACTGGATGGAGACAAAGCACCACATTAGGTTTTGTTTTGCATCTCCACTTACATTTTAATCTGCAGCAACAGTGATAGCAGGGTAAATTAGTCATTGTAAGTGTTTTAGGCCAGATTTGAGTTGATACTTATTAGATACAGGCCCCTACATGTTAATTTCACTTTCGTTTGATGGCAGGCCAGCCACAGTCATCTGCCAGCAAAGCAGGATGGAATGTGCTGGGTTTACTCTTGTGTGGAAGTAGTTACTGCATGGCAGAATCAAGGGCTCTTGTGCTGCCTTATGTGTCTCTCCAGCCCCCCGAGCTGGTCTGTCAGGCTCCAGCCCTTCACTGCCTTCCTGATAATCTGTGGAAATGTGTAGAAGTAAATTGCAAACCCTGTCTAAGAGACCACCACAATCTGCAGTTCTCCCTGAACTGTAACTTGTCCCTATATTAGCAAGCACAGATGAGTTGCAGATTTCATTGGTTATGACTATTTATAACTATTTCAGATTCGAAGAACAGTCACCGTAAACTCAGTCCCTGTCCCACTGCCTGGCAGAAATGAGGATTTTCAGGAAACAAGCTAGGCAGCTTCAGACTGATAGCTAGAGGTGAGGTAGTGATGGGAAAGGTGCAAGTTCTTGGTGGTTCATGTGCACTCAGGTGACTCGTTCACACAGGTCACTCTGCTGAAGAGGTTTGAGAGGTCATTTGTGGCTCTTTGCCCAAGCTGATGCTGATGAATTCTCAGATCAGGACCTTGCAGTAATCCTCACTTTGTTTTTATCTGTACTTTTGAAACTTACTCCAGGTTCTGCTGGTGCCAGCTACAGTATTGAACCATTTGACTTTATGTATTTGCCACAACTGAACCTCTTTCTAGATTCCCTATGAAATCCTGACAGGTTTTGGTTCCTTTGGTGGCAGCAGTTTTTGTGCTCGTGGACAGACTCTTTTGTGTGCAGCTCTTGCTCACGTAGAAAGTTGATTGCTCTGGAGAAGATGAAGCCACTTTATTCCACAAGGAAGTGCAACTGGATTGTGGAGCATTTAATTGAGAAGGGTCATTATACACCACAGTGACTGGGCTATATGACATTTGAGAAGTGTTTGGTTTACAGAAATGAGCTAACCCTTTATTGCCTGACAGTGCCTGCACGAGTGGCACAGACTGCCCTGTAGCTCCTTCCAGCAGCCTCTGCTGTTACTCTGTGATGATGGAATTAACCCAAGCCAAGGCCTCCAGCAGTTGTGGCAGCACTGGTTGTCTGAGCCATACAGACCTTAGGAAACAGCTGAACTAATTCCTCTGTAGTGGATAAACTGGTGATCTCGTGGAAGGCAGCTCTGTTCTGTCATGCCTCTGTCTCACAGCCCTCATGAAGGAACCAAGTTCCAGCAATGTGTAGTGGCAGGAGTGTAAAACAGTCTCAGAAATGTCTTTACCCACAGTGAGATGTGTATGGTTTAGCTGAGCTCTCTGCAGGGTAAGGCTCTTACATTGACATCATCTGAGCCTGCAGGACAGTGAGGTTGCCCAAGAGCTGATGAATTACTATTTTGATGTTGCATAAGGTTGGAATTCAAGGAGCTCTAATGTTCTTCCCTATACCTCCTTGCCTTGTGCAGTATAACCCATGGCTAAGAACTTGCAGATTTGTACTTTTCCCTGTATCAGCACATAATTACAGTGAACTTTTCAGTGTGTCATGAGTGGGTTCACTAGCCCCACATTTCCTGCTTTCATCTGGTTTTAATTGTTTTTAACCTCTATCAGAGCAGTTCCTTTTTTTTCCCTCCCTCTTTAAAGGTCACAACAAAGAGTCTGTTGAAAGCTCCCTCTGCACACTGACAAGGAAGCTTAACATCTTTGTCTGAAACTAGTCTTTGATCAGTTATTCTGCACAGAGCAGAAAAGAAGTCTTGGAGCCTTGAGCTAATCTGCCTTACTGGTGATTCAGCATTTGACTGGCAGTGCCCATAACTAGCCCCCATGAAAACTGAGGTTTGGGTGCTAAGTCAAAAATCTCAGTGTTAAGATCTTCCAGTAGCAAGACCAGTAATTGGCGTATTTATAGCTTCTTTGAGACTCAGTTATGAGTTATGCTGCACTTCAGTGTTGGGTTCTTACAGGTTTTGACTACATGAAAATTTGGAGCAATAATTTAATGTTTAAGTGAAGTGTAAATAAAAATGCATTCTGCATGCATTTATGCACTTTCACCTTATTTTCTGGCTGTGACAGAGTAAACTCTTCATTTTAAATGTTTTATTCAGTGAAACTGAAGTGTTCAGTTCTTAATTCTTGTCTTTCAGGTCTCATCACCATGGTTATTTTAAGAACATGAGCAACGAGTCCATAGGATGTCGAACACCTTACTGTATATTCACATCATGAATGTGGACTGCCTTTTACTCCCATTTGGCTCATTAAGATGCTAGCAAAGCTGTTCAGTGATTTAAGATACCTTCAGAAGTGTAATATATTTTAACTGTATAATAAACGAAAGACTCAAAGCACTTTGGGTGCTTCTGTAACAGACAGCTATGAAATGTTCAGTGATACCTGTGAAAATAATTTGAAAAACTTTTATATCTTATGCCTACTGTAAAAAAATCCTTATTAAAGCAACATTTGTTATTTTTAGTCTATGTTCACATCAGTGCGTGATCACTATAAAAGCAAAACTGTCTTCTGTAAAACCTCCGTTCGGTTGTGGTTGTACTGCCGAGCTTGGCACATAACACTTCTGTGTACATACCAGAGGGCTGAGGGTTGTGGCTGGTCACTGGAGAGAATGAACAATTCCATCAGTGAAACTATGAAATAAACCATGAATTTTAGGTAAAGAAGCAATTCTCAACTTTCTTACTTCATCATTACCAATACGTGGCTGAGTTCTCCTTGTCGTAGCTGGGGGAGTCGTTTCTGCCACAGCCACTTTGTGTCACAGCTGTAGATGATAAAACCAAGTTCTGTGGTCAGTCCCTTCCTTTCCTGGGCTGCCTGCGCTGTGTATAATAGTGAAGTGGGAATGGCTGCACACTAATACAAAATTCACCATTTTGCCTGTGTTAGAGACCAAACTAAGCATAGCAGCAAAGGCATTTCTCTCCCCCACAGCTACCACAGGGGCTTCTTTTTGTCAGAAGCTCCTGCTCAAATGCCAGTTTCATGCTCATGAACATTTATCTTGTTTCCTGTAACAAGTGTTTCCCTTCATTTGACATTTCCTTGTTGAGATGTTCATTTTAAAAGGGCCAATATTACTGTGGGTGATTCATACACACAAATCTTTGTCTATAAGAAGTCTATAGAATGTGCTCTGATATGAATAAAAATCAGTTTGGAAATTAAACCTTCTTTCCCCCTGCATGTTATAGGTCACTTTTCTGCTTATGCATGGAAGTACAAAGGAACCATGGGAAAAAAAACATTGTTTCTTTAAAAAAAAAAAAAGAAAAATTGAATTCAAGTTGTTAATTACTACATTTTTTATGATATATCAGTCTTTAAAGGGCAATAAAATTTTACTTCATTTTGATTCTCAGAAGAACTGAGATTGTGTCATCTATCAGTAGCAGATGATAAAGTCAAACATTAACATTCTCTAAAAAAAAACCCAACCAAGGTTCCCAAGTGGCTGAGAACACTCTGTGCTGGAGCCTTCTGCAGGCACAGCACCTGCCTCAGCACTGAGCTGGTGCTTGGGTCGGTGTTTGCTGCCACTGCAAAGCTGCA